AAACTGGAAGTCTACAATGTTACCCAGCATGCTGTTGGCATTGTTGTGAACAAACGAGTGAAGGGCAAGAGACTTGCCAAGAGAATCAATGTGCGTATTGAGCATATGAAGCATTCTAAGAGCAGAGATAGCTTCCTAAAACGTGTGAAGGAAAATGACCAGAAAAAGAAAGAAGCCAAAGAGAAAAGTACCTGGGTTCAACTAAAGTGCCAGCCTGCTCCACCCAGAGAGGCACCCTTTGTGAGAACCAATGGAAAGGAGCCCGAGCTACTGGAACCTATTCCCAGTGAATTCATGGCATGATGGGTGTTAAAAATAAACTAATCTGTGGTCTGTGAAAAAGAAAAATCAATCAATTGGTTCCTCTTATGTAAACAAACATTAAAAAATAGTTACTGTGGGAACCAGCAGTTAGTGTAATGGCTATGTCGCTGGACTCCCACGTAGTCGACCGCGGTTTGCGTCCCGGACCCGGTGGCTTAGAACTCATGCTGGGCGCGTGTGCATACGTGCCTAAGATCCCGAGTGGAGAATGGAGGAGAAGGGATTGTGGCGTGGCCATCCCCCCTGGGGGTGATTTCTCGCTTTCTGTCTCTATGTCTCTCTCTCTCTCTCTCTCTCTGGCGAGCGCACGCACCCTATAGCGAAAACCTCTCCAAAAAAAAAAATACTGTGGGGCTGGTAGGTTGCATGGTGATTAAGGTGCTGGACTCCCACATGGCCAACCATGGTTTGAGTCCCAGACCAGGCTTGCTTTCTCACTTTTTCTCCCCCTCTCTCTGTGTCTCTGTCTCTCTCTGATGAGTGCATATGCCCTACAGCAAATTTAGAAAAAAAATGTAATAACAAATAAAATAAAAAATAGTTATCATTTGTTACTGCTTTTGCTATGCTATATTTATCAATAGGTTAAGGCTTAATCTTCAGGGAAACCTCAGGAGGAGGAATGTGGTATTCTTTCTTTACTGATGGGAAAATGGAGCCTTGGAGAGGTGGATGGCACAGCTCAGGTCGGACAGCTCAGAAGTCTCCAGAGAGCCTGGAGTTGGAGCCTCGTTTCTTGGGCTCCATAGTGTACTTTCTCGATAAGCTCATATTTATGATTAAATTGGCTTTGAGGTTGGCTTTTTAAAAAATTCTTTTTCTGCCTAGGGGATTCCTTCTCAATATCAGAGTTGTGGTCTTATTTTTGAAATATGTTTGACTAGGGACCAGCAGATGGCCTAATGGTTATGTCACTGGATTCCCACGTAGTCGACTGCAGTTCGAGTGCCAGACCCAGCAACTTAAAACTCGTGCTGGGAGGGAGCAGCAGGTGGCGTGGTGGTTAAGGCACTAGGCACTCCCACGTAGCTGACCACGGTTTGAGTCCTAGACCTGGTGGCCTGTTTTTTCACTTTCTCTCTGTACCTCTCTCTGGTTTAATTAAAATAAATGAATGACTAAATAAAATTAAATAAATAATTCTTTAAAAATTAAAAAAAAAAAAAAACCACCTCATGCCAGGCATGTGTACGTGCGTGTCCAAAATCCTGAGAGGAGAGGAGAATTGGAGGAGAAGGGACTGTGGTATGACCATGCCCCTCAGGGTGATTTCTTGCTTTCTGTCTCTCTGTCTCTCCAGCAAACACATGTTCCCTGTAGCAAACATCTCTCTCTCAGAAAAAGAAATATGTGGTTTTTTTTTTTTTGGAGAGATTTTCACTGTAGGGTGCCTGCGCTCGCCAGACAGACAGAGAGAGACATAGAGACAGAAAGCGAGAAATCACCCCCCAGGGGGGATGGTCACGCCGCAATCCCTTCTCCTCCATTCTCCTCTCGGGATCTTGGGCACGCATGCACACGCGCCCGGCGTGAGTTTTAAGCCACCGGGTCCGGGACGTGAACCGCGGTCGACTACGTGGGAGTCCAGCGACATAGTCATTACGCTAACTGCTGGTTCCCAATATGTGTGCTTTTTAGGTTATACTTTGTCACAGAATGGAGATGATGATGTGGTCTTTCCTATGTGATGGTGGTGCCACCTCTAGGTGTCACTTTCTAGGGAGAGTCACTCATGTTT